TATTTTGTCTTTATTGTTAAAACTCAAAGTTTTTAAGTATTTTTCATTAGTTTTTCTTAGAATATATTACTACAAAAGGAGATGAGGCCTAGTACACCTATTCACTTTGAAATAGGCAACATTGTTTACTTTGAAAGAACAGGCAAAATTTATTCAAGTACAAAATTTTGTTTGATGTAATTGAGCCATCAATACTGTTCAGCTTGTACTATTTCGGATGCTCTAAGAATGGTCTGAGAATGAGTATCCCTCAGAACCGTTTGTGATGGCCATCTTTTTCAATCCGATCCATTTCACCTTTCTGGGATTGTCACTCTACCGTATCCTTGAAAGTTGATACTAAGTTCAAGATTTTTCTTCCATTATGTCCCCACTATCCATGCTCTTTACTTTATTTAGTAGTCAATTAAATTTTTTTTAGTATAGGAATCAATTTTTTCACACTTTTCACACTTAATTAGAAAAAATCAATTTTTTTTTTCGAAATTTTTGTATTAGAATAAGTTCGGAACACTTCAAAAAAATTCGGATTGAAAATTTAGAATTTTCGGAATCTCTAGTAAATGCCTTCCAATTTCCGTTTCAATTTTTAAAAAATATTCAGATTTGGAATATTCAAGTTTGAATTCGAAAATTTTACTGTTAGAATTGGAAACACCATTCCAACTTGCACCACCATGCCTTACTGTGTTTGTCATTCATTTTGGAAAACGAAAAGGACAAAAAGAAAAACACCGATGCATGCCTATCAATCATATGATGCATCATACATATATAATCCTTCATTCTGTGTAATTACCCTTCATTAGAAGGGAAGTGATTTTCACACTTTTCATGCACCCATTTTTATTTATGTAATTAGATTAAATAATTCAAATGAAAATAACGAACATAATTAAACAAGATTGTGTGTTTATCATTTTTCTTAGCAGAATAAACACATATCTTTGATAGTTTGGAACTTCATTGCTAGATTAACATATGCCTCTACCAATATTCTTCTAATTCTTCTTTTTTTTTTTTTTTTTTTTTTGGGAAATACTATTTTATCCCGTCTCATGTGGTACCAAGAAGGGGATTAGTTTGCCACATGGGGAAAAAAAAGGCTAAGTTATATTAAGTAGGGAGATTGCTAATATTCCAGTGTGCATGCAATATTAAAAAGTACAATATTTATTGAAGCAAGAAACCTTATGCAGAATTCATGTGTTAACATGCATTTGAAGTTATTGCTCGAACAAATTCAACATGATACTGATAAAAAAAGAAAAAGAAAGAACAGATCAATCTAATATAATTGTCACGTAAGAAGGTTTAGTGGAAGCATCCAATGATGGAGAGTAAATTGAAGATATTGGAAGTAAGAGACTTCAAATTGAGCAATATTATGTAAAATTGAGTGGACTTCCCACAAGAAGATTTGGATAATGGTCCATTAATTAGAGTTCTGTGATAAATTTGATCACACTTGAATAAGTTAGGTTTTGATTTTCCAAGGGTGGAGTAATTAGAGTTCTAAGACTTTGTTTTGGTGAACAAAGTTTGAAGAACTTAGTTTATCCTTATGTTTTTAAATTTCTTACTAGGCATGTAAAGAACACAAAGCTATTGGTTAAGTGCATCCACTATTGGATTGGTGAGGTGTTAAAGTTTGAATCTTCTCATCTCCAATTTATTTCTCCTTTAGCAACACTTGTTACTTTTCAATAGGCTATAAACAAGTCAAACCGAATCAAATAGTACTCAAGTTTAGCTTGTTTAATTTTTTTTTCGAAGTCGAACTAGATTTGGCTTGGATCTTACATAAGCGGAGCTCGAGCGAGCTTAAGAAATTCGAGCCCGATGAGCTCAAGTTATTTCAAGCTTTTTATAATAGTAAGTTGGTTTGAATTGTGTAAAAAAACTTTGCAATATCATGATAGGGTTTAGGCTTAAGAGTTGACTACCATATCAACATTTTTTAGTATAATGCCCCGTTGTAATTACTAATCACTAATCATGATATAGCGTTCCGTAGTAATCATTAATCATGATATAGCGTTCCGTAGTAATCATTAATCATGATATAATGTTTACTAGTAAAAAAAGAAGTATATCACGATATATTATCATGCAGATTGTATTAATTGAATGAGATAGTGTTTAGTGTACATTACTATACGATAAGTGCGGTAAGTGTATAACATTTATCTTCCTTATAAGAAGTTTTAAAGTAGATACTAGCACTGAGAACAATGAATTCAATAATTAGACTTTGGTTTTGCTTATTTTGTTCTACGGTTTAGGGTTCTTTGAGCGGCAACTTGAAGTCCTATTCCCACTTAATCACATAGAAAGAAAGAATTATGTCAACACTATCATTTCTAGTTTTTTGTAATTGAGTAAGTTAAATTTGGGTCTCCAAATGCATAGTATACAAGAAATACCAAAAAAAGGTTCTTAAAAAAAATTTAATTAGAGTTGAGAATATATATATATATATATATGTATGTATATTTATTTATTATTACCTGTCAAGCTTGAATTATTGAGATGAGTTCAAGCCTAGACACGATCGGTACGAGCTGAACATAGCAATACTAAAGTTTGGCTTAATTCTTTTACGAGTTGAGCTTCAACGATCCAAATATGAGCCAAATCTAGTGTGACTCAAGCTTTTCAAGCCAATTTATATCCGTATTTTTTAATCTTTTTCTCACAAATATGATTTTAGTAATGTTTCTTATTTTATATTTATCTAGCCTCTTGACCTTCACTCATGCACCCCAATTAGCTTTTATAATTTTTCAATCTAAAAGAGATTTTTATTTTTTTTTCAATTATATTCTTGGGCTTTCTATTTTTTATTGTTTTATTTAAAATGGAAATATTAAAAAAAAAAAACATGACGTAACGCGTTTGGGTGGGGAAGTGTATACAGTAGAATATGGCACAACATGCAGTTCCCTTCGACCGTAAGCACAGACCTCTTCATATGCCAATTAACTTCATTAGTTTATCAAATGCACACGATATAAAATTTGTGCACTCCTCATAAGATATATTTCTTTTTAAATATATTATAGTAACAATAATAATTTTCTATCAAATAGGCATGATACGAAATAAATTTCTATTTGTGTGCATATTAGCGCACCTTCAAAGAGGCCGGTTAGTTCTACTGATTTAATTCACGCATTTTGTTATTGTTTGGAATGCGTGTACAAATGATTATATTAAATATATCTGTGGTTAGTGGCGGAGCCACTTGAGGATCAGGAAAGGCTCGGGCCGATCCTGAAGTTTCTTCATTTTGTAGCTATGTTTGTGTGTTTTTGGCTGGATACTCTGCATTCTTCGAGTTATGTGTGTTTGCTTCCAACTAGCTCTATTAGATTTCTTTAATTGACTAAAAATAATGTGTTTAGCAGTAATATTGTTATGAAAATAAAGCCTTACATGAACTAACCTTCCTTAGTTAGTTCACCATTTTGTATGACAGAGTGTTGTTTTACAGTAAAACCACGAATATATGGAATAAAGGAAAAAATTATCTTGAAAGAAAATTTTCATAGTTGCAGTTTTGCACCATGATTATTAATTTTTGTTCAACTTCAATGTAGAAACTTATAAAGAAGTCCGGTGATGATGATATAATTATCTCAATGTTAATTTTTTTCGTGACTCCATTACTTTCTTTTGATTAAATGTTTTCATTTGGCTACATAAGAGCAACTCCACTGTTGCTTATTGCCTTGGGGATAGGCAACCCCATCCAATCTCCCCCTCCTTAAAACACTCCAGCCCACTCAGGCAATTGGAGCCAAGACGAGCCCGATGGAGAAGTCATATAATAATAGCCTATCCGAGCCCCTGCCTATGTGACATCATCATGACGTCAACCATAATTTAAATTATTAAAATAAAAAATAAAGAAATTAAAACAATATTATAAAAAACTAATTAAAAATATAAAAAATTATAATTTTTTTCTATAAATACCTAATCATGTTCTTCCACTTTACACTACATTTCAATATTTTTAAATACTTTAAACAATCTTTTATTATTATTCAAAATTAAAAATAAAGTTACCTTTTATTATTTTATAAAATAAAAAATACTAATATTTTAATACGAATTGTTTTGGTTATTTAATTTAAGGATGAAGATGCACTTGAACAGTTCATTGCTCAAGTTACCGTTTATTTAAGGGAATTGAATTGCTTATTGCCCAAAGAACCTTCCCAAAGTGCTCTAAAATGAACCTTCAAGTTTCTCATATTAGTTATTTTGTTTTTGTTCAATTTCTTTTGTATGGCTTAGAGATTCTTCCTAACCTCGATTTTTGGTCGCGCACTGTTCGTGCATCCCATATCTTTCTTATACTACTTATCCCATTCAGCTAGAAATGATAGCATTTTCTTGTTTTTTATATATTAAACTAAATGACATATGGAAATAAAAAAATAGAGGATACATATTCAATGAACCCAGCATACGTGTCCATTTCCTTTGTGTGCTAAATTGACTGTGTGATGTCCTTTTCAGGGGAGCAGTCAGCAAGTAGTCACTGCCCATTAGATAGATACTTGGGAAGGCGGTGACCGGACCCCTGCTTTTATGCCAACTTTTTCTGGTGATGCCCACAGCATTAAGAGTAAACTAACAGTAAACTCATATTTTATTCCGTTCAAAGTCAAAATAAATTTTTGTTCAAAGTTGTCAATAATAAATTAATAAAACGGCACGTCATTGTGTTATGTATACACTGAAAAACCGCCTCTTTCTATAGTTAGTGCTTACTACATGAAGGTTTCAAGCCCCTTCTCCATGTTTCCCTATAAATAGCCAAGAACCTAAAGCCAATTAACTCCCAAGAGCCCTCCCGCTGAAGCCATATCAACTTTGTTCTCATTAAAATCCTATCATCCATCACCTCACCAATATTCCCCGATCGTCTTCTCTAGAATTCTTATCTTTCAACCCCTTCTCACTCTCTCTTTCCTCCCTCCGTTTAGACACATTAGATAAAACATATTGATAACAAGTGACAATGGTGTTTGTGACCAAATCAGCCAGTGAACACTTTTCTTATCCTAGAACCAGCACCAAAGTCTCCAAATTGTTTTCTGGGATTCCTCTGGTAGACCTCACAAAACCAGACTCCAAGCAACTCATTGTCAATGCCTGTGAGGAGTATGGTTTCTTCAAGATCATCAACCATGGTGTTCCAATGGATTTCATCACAAGATTGGAATCTGAGGCCATCAAATTCTTCTCCCTCCCACTTTCTGAGAAGGAAAAGTCAGGGCCTCCTAATCCATTAGGATATGGGAACAAGCATATTGGGAAGAATGGTGATGTTGGTTGGGTCGAGTACCTCCTTCTCACAACCAATACAGAATCCATTTCCCAGAGGTTTCTATCGGTTTTTGGAAATGACGCAGAAGAGTTTTGGTACGTTATTCAATCTTCACTTGAATTTAATTCAAAAGTTTTGATCTTTTCTAACATGGAAATAATTTTTGTACACCCCTTTTTCCTCCTGGCACAACCCCATCTTTGTTATGGTACTTAGCAGAAACAAACGATGGTGTGCGGCAACCATTTTTCCTTTTAAATGATAAGCTCTTAATAAAATTTCTTTTATCTTATATTTTTCTTTTTTTATTGTTGGAATTGCAGTTCTGCTTTGAATGATTACGTATCAGCTGTGAAGAAAATGACCTGTGAGATTCTTGAGCTGATGTCTGAAGGATTGAAGATTCAACCAAGGAATGTGTTCAGTAAGCTTTTGATGGATGAACAGAGTGATTCTTGTTTCAGGCTCAATCACTACCCACCATGCCCAGAGCTTCAAGGTTTGAGCAGTGCCGGTGCCAGAAATGTGATTGGATTTGGAGAGCACACAGACCCACAAATCATTTCTGTGCTAAGATCCAACAATACATCTGGCCTCCAAATTTCTTTGAGAGATGGGAGTTGGATTTCAGTCCCACCTGATCAGAACTCCTTCTTTATCAATGTTGGTGACTCTTTACAGGTACTACTACGGTTATAGTAGATTCATTTGAAAAAATGATTTTCGCACATTTCTTGTCACTTTTAGAACGAGAAAAACGTGTGCGAAAGTCACTTCCTAATGCTTTCCTAATTCATTTCTTTGATTATTTTTTATTTTTCCTTTTGCTAACTGCTACTGTTTTAATAATAATTACAAAGATCACAATCAGTTCCTTTAGAGAAAGATTCCTATTTTTCTGTCAATTCCCTATTACCATGGATAAGATATGAATACCATCCTTTATTTTTTTTATTGGGTTCTTAATGATTGCTATTTGCTTTTCTGCCCATCACAAAAATATAAACCCTATGAGAAGTAACCCTGCTTTGTTCTAGTTTTTTGGGAAGGAGGGAAGTATTATCCTTAACTCATAGGGTTTTTGGTGAATTTGCAGGTTTTGACTAATGGGAGGTTTGAAAGTGTGAGGCACAGGGTTTTGGCAAATGGTTTAAAATCAAGACTGTCAATGATTTATTTTGGGGGACCACCCTTGAGTGAGAAAATAGCTCCATTGCAATCTGTCATGAATGGAGAGGAGGAAAGCATGTACAAGGAGTTTACATGGTTTGAGTACAAAAAATCTGCCTACAGCTCAAGACTTGCAGATAACAGGCTTGGACACTTTGAGAGAATTGCAGCCTCATAAAACACAGCACAACAGAACAAATAAAACCCTAGTTCTTGTTAAAAGAATTAGGGTTTTTTCAATTTCAGTACTCAGGATTCAGGATAGGTTTAAGACCATAATTTTATCAAATTTTCCATAGATGGAATACTCTGTTCTATCCCCCCCCTGTTTTTCCCTTTTCTCCAATTGTATTCCCCTCCCTTTCTACCAAGTACTAATTCATGTAATTAGCTACCTTTCTTGTTAGATATACAAAATGTTCATCTTTTCTATGTGCTTACTCTTACTTTTTGTAGTTTTTTTCTTTTGAAAGAACCTCGACGGAATGAAATAACTTTTATTTATGATTTGAAAAGGACAACGTGAGAACGTAAAAAATTTTCCTAGACTATAATCATTACCCACAACTTTTATTTTGGGGTAATTTTTAAACATGTGGAATGTGTATTTTTTTTGTTTGTGTTTACTATTATATTTCGTAGTTTTTATTAATAGAATTTCAACGAAACAATAGAGTTTCTTATTATTCAAAAAAGACATTATTTGAAAAAGACAACATAAAACTTGGTCAATCATCAACCATGAAAGGTATTTTTTATGTTTATTTTTTTCCGTAGTTTTTAAATCCATGGAAATAGGTGGATTGCGGATCAGCACGTCCCCACAGGAGATTAGTTCATCTTCATCTACAACTGTCTATCATAAAGGTTTTAGTACTCTTTCAATTTATCGTACAAAGTTATTTTCTCACTTCCTCCCCTCTCTTTCAACTCCCTAATAATCAGGTCAATTGCAAAATCATGGCCTTGTGGAGCACACAAAATCATGACTAATTGTTACCGAAAACAAAAATCCATGACTAATCATTCATTAGTCTAATAAATAAGAATTCGATAATTATCATGTGTGAAAGAGCGGTATTTTAGAACCTATATATATATATATATACTCTTATACTGTTTACTTGCCATATATAATTTAAAACTATTGTGATCAAGGTTCTAAAAGATGATAGGCGTTAGTCGGGCGGTGGGCTAGATGGGGTGGAGGTGGGCGCTTAGGAGGACTAGACGGATTTAAGTAAATCAATTATATTTTGTGTAAATAAGTGTATGTTTATACTTAAAATATATATAATTTCATCATAAACTACAAAATAGAATGACATATATATTATGAAGTATGGGCATGGGGAACACACATATAATGTGTGCTCATTTAAGTATTCAATAAGTCCCTCACAATTTTTTTTTTAATCGGGACGGTTGCTAGCCGCTTAGTATCCAAACGGGACCTAGGCGGCACTAGATAGAGATTTTTAGAATAGTGATAGTGATTAATATTACATATATATACTAAGAATATGCCATATCGTTTTTAATTACATTAGATGATTTCTTTTCTTGCTTGTGAGAAGTTGCAGATATCATCTCATGCTATACTATATAGACACATATTGTACCATCTTTGTGTCTTCATATGACAGGAGGTGTCATAATTTTCGACACCTGCATGCACCTACAATTTGATGACTCTTATACTAGGTTACCCATATTTATGACACCTCCAGCTTGTGACTAACCTAGACAACCATTATCCATTGAACTACACGGACTCTTAGTTGTTAGAGTTTCCTCTGTCATTGATGGTAGCTAGATAGGATTGTTATAACTCATCTCCTATAAATGGCTTCTACCTGATAGGAGTTTTTATTTGTATTCTTGTAAGTATTTTTAAGTGTTTTTATCTTTACTTTTGCAGGTGGTAAAAATTCCCCGGCAACGGCACCAATTTCTTGATAGGAATTTTACCACCTGCAAAAGTAGAGATAAAAACACTTAAAAATACTTGCAATAATAGAGATAAAAATTCCGATCAGGTAAGGGATTTTATTTATTTATTATGAGACTAAGGAGAGGGAATTTTTTTTTTATTTTTACTTTTTAAGTTGGACACAGTTGGTCGAAGACGTATCTATTCGGACGTTCCACCGCTTGCAAAGGACATGCGCATTGTCCTGACTAATTGATCAAACCTCCATATGAGCTACGGTTGTAATTAAATCTAGATGGTCACACTATAATAGTTTTGTTTTCATTTTTGGGTAGGCTACAATATTACAACATTATTTATAAGGTACTAGGCCAAGTTTTATATTTGGGCCCGGTAGTGGCAAGTCCAGAAAATGAAAATCTATCAAAATATCCGTGGAGCTCAACTCTCATAGTTCTATTATTCCTTGGTATTTGCATGTTGATTGGAGCAATTGCTTGTGGCAGATTAGGCATATGCATGTTTCTGTTTTCCATATTTTTCGCAAGGGCAACTGTGTAGCTGATTTCTTAGCTAACTTTAATGTAGATCATGATGCATATATATTACTGGTAATCCAATGTTCCTTCATGTGAAACGTCTGCTTATATTCATAATCTTTTTGCTTCATAGATGATTTTTATCATATGTTTTCTTTGTTAAAAAAAAAAAAAAACCCCAAAATCTACCCAAACTGGCCCCTTTTAGTTCATTTTCTAAGATGCCGAATAAAAATTACCGTTTCGAGTAATTTATTATCATCACGAATAAGTAGATGACTAACTCAGTCCATCTCAATTTGGATAACCGCAAAAAAAAAAGGGGGTGTGATATACACACACCCCATTTTACTTCTCATACATTTTTTTAATTTTCGGCCGTTGGATCGGATAAATTGAAGAAGATCAATGGACAAAAATTATCAAGAGGTATGTGAGAAATAAAATAGGGTGTGTGGATAGCACACCCCAAAAAAAAAATTGTTGATAGTTTTATCGAGGACAAGAGAGGAAAGTAACTGGTAGGCCTTCCTGAAGGATGGTACCATCCCAAAACGTGTACTCTGAGTCGTTGGAACATGCATATATCCGTAACGGTTGCACAGAAGTCCGGCTTCTAAGTTATAATTAATTCGCATCATATATGCACAACATCCGTTATCCACCACTGAGTCCTGTATGAAAACAATGCAATTGATCAACAAAGAGGATGCGAAAATTTTAAGCTCCATCTCATTATAATAAATTAGATGGATCATACACACGATGCGCATGTAATTGTAAGGTGATATATGTAGTGGACAGTTTGTAGGTCTCAAAAGTATAGAATGCCTAATTACTAGAGCAACCGCAAATTTACAACTCGTTTATTGACATTATTTTTATGAAACAAAAATATAGTAGTCATTTCCTACATAATGATTAATATTGATTCTCTCCTACAAAAAAATTATTGTATTATGTTTCAAAGTGTAGTTGATCCAGACTAGACGAGATCTTGTTTTAATGTGTGGTTTGAATCAACCCTAAAATCCATACATAATAGACATCTCAAATGAGTTTTGTGATTACCATAATGAGCAGGGTTCTGAACTAGATCAAGAGATGGATTATAGATATCAAGGTACACAAGTCTAGCATGTGGAAGCCTTTTATTGAAAGAGTGCATTTGTGTGGAGAGTTTGGAGTTGAAGAGCTTTGTTGCATTGTTGACAGACTCTGAACATTCTCTATGTATTCCCCCACCCAAAAGCCCTCTGAAATGGCACACGTCCTAGTACTACATACTCATTACTTCAATCTTGCTCCGAGTTGTTAAAGCTCCTGAACCTTTTCATTCAATTCCAACCCCATTAAAACTTTCGAACAAAAAAAGGAGAAGAAGAAACATATGATTCAAAACAGCCTCATCTTAAATTCCCACTTGTTAGTTAAGCTTCAACAAGCTCTAGGGTTGTAATTCGTATTAGTATGTATACATAATTTCGTGTTTATAACCCGACATGTTTGATTAAAATTTTCAAGCGACTCGACATTAACTCAATCCCTTTATATTTGTGTCAGATTGACAAACACAATAAATAAATGCTACCTGCAAGAAACCTATAGCTGATCTTAGATCTTTTTTTTTTTGGTCAACTGGGATTTTCAATATAACAGCCAAAAAGGCAAAATAAAAGAACAACGGAGCAATGATTCGTTAAACAGCAGGCTCCCTCACGAGTCCTGCAACACCGAAGCATCACTAATCTAGCCACAAGTGTTAGAATATGAGTATGAAATTGACATTGTGTCTGGTTGTTGTGTATGAATTGATATGGAAAGTCTAAATTAACAGGCTGTAAGTAATCCTAATTCTTGTAGGATTGAGAGTACTTATGAGGGTTTGAGTATTGGTGACTTGAACATGGTTGGGATTGTGTTTATACATATGGAATGGATAGTTGAGTCCTATACTGATTCTAATAGGAGGACAGTAAGGATTATAGTGAATATATAAACACTAGCCACTGCTCTTGTAATACACGGCTCATATTGATCTTAGACCTATTCTCAGAGAGCATACTGGTTATTGTCAAAGAGGAGAAGGTTAATTGTTAATAGGTTGATATGGCTTCATCGTCTTCATCAGCTGCTGCAGGTATGTTTCTTGTGTTCTGTCTTCATTAACTCTAATTGCTCTTCTTGTTCTCGTGGCTTAATGGCATGTCTATGATCTTTGGTTCATAGTGATTACTTACATATGGTATCAGAGCCATGGGTGGTTATAGCTGTTAAGACGGAATGTTTTGATCAAGAACTTAAGAGATTGGGTGTGCATTGAGAACTATCGAAACCCAAACCCAGAAAACATCACTTTTAAACCTTGTTGATTCTAATTTGAAGAACGACATCATCTTTGGTTTTAGTATAATAAACGACGTCGTGTTTTAAACTAGCCGATAACTCCCTATAATTTAAAAGTGAAAGATGACCGTTAGCGTTAGCCCCCATTTGGGTCTTCTCCATGGTTCCTCACACATCATCGCGATTCTTGCGATTGAACACAACAATCAATCACCTTTTGCTAACACACCAAAACTTGTTGTCGATGCTGCAGAGGTATGTATATTGATTTGAATTGATCTGTTGTTTGATGAGATTTTCCTTCTACAGTTTAAAATAATTCTAGGGTTAGAAAGCAAGATTAAAGGATTGTGCAATTTAGGAACACGATTATGAATTGTTGAAACTTGCTTAATGTTTTCATACTCTATGATTGCTTCCGCTGCTATTGATGGATTGTATTAGAAAAATCTATACGATTGTGTAATCTGAGCTGCTGCAGAAAGTCGCATACATGTGCTGCAGAGTTCATTGGCATCCCTTTTTGAACATGGACTTATCTGCAGAAAGCACAATGAGTTGTTTATTCTATATGGGGGCGTTTGTTTGCCCTCACTAAGTGGGATTG